GACAGTTAGAAAACAGACATATTCATATTAGCCAAATGCTACAACCGGCACAGTGCAATGCACACCTCTATCTCTGTTTCTCTAACTGCATATTAGCCATTATTAGACACAAATTGTTAAGAGATCAGATTAAAATATTTGTCACCTTTTGAATCCTTCAAAATTGGAGATGTTTGCTGAATAATCTTTGCTATCCTTCAAAATTGAAGGGTCATTGCCTCCACCTTAAAAGCCTGGTTTTTATACTGAAAGGGATGTCAATGAACTCGAGGTCAATCCTTCTTCTAAGCATTTTCAGCTAAAGAAGTCACAGTCCTTTTACACTAAGGGAGGCTCGATAAACGATATTTCATGTTGGTATGTTAATCTGGTGCTTTTGAAGTCAGTTTGAAAAGTTAAATATAATTAAGAGATTCCCAACCCATGCGTTAGCAAATGCACCCTCCAATTTTTTTTATTTGTTTTCTTTGGAGTTGAGGTGGAGTTCACACAATAGAAACACAGATGCGGATACAAGAACAAATATAAAAGCTTAAATGAATTTGATTTTTCACTTGAGATGGTGCAATATTTCAATTTTTTTTTAATGTTCTTTGGTGGGTTGGTTTTGGGTTCCTATGAAACAAGAGGAGGAGACAAATCTTTCTTTCTTCTTTTTTTCTCTCAGCAAACAAGAGGGCATGATCAAATGTCAAAATCTGTAACAGAAATGTAATATCCAAAGAATGAAAAGCAGTCCAACCAAGAAGAAACTATCAAATATTAGTGAATCAGCAAAACTTGTGAATTTAGCAAATAAAGAACCTGCAGCTAGTTTCAAGCAGGAAAAACTTACTTGTGTAATATGAAGAGCCTGCTCAAGCCGCTGAATTTGAATCCATTGTTCTGTAACAATGTCCGCCATCTGAAAGCAAAGAGAAAGAAGCCAATGGCAAAATGAACACCACACTGACAAAATCACACACTCATAGCCATAGACCAAAGATGGATTGAGTACATCAGTGCATGACCTTTTGAGCCTGAGAGGCAACCGTTTCGAGTCTATCCTCGGCATCTTGTGCTTTAGACTCTAAAAAATGGGCCTAGGCGGGCGGCTAGGCGGGCGCTAGGCGGGCGCTAGGCGGCTAGGCGGCTAGGCGGGCGCTAGGCGGCTGGGCGGGCGTCCTAGGCGGGTTGGGTCTTTTTTTGGTGTCCAACCCGGAGGACGAAGCCACCGAAATCGAAGAAAACAAATCGAAGCTTGAGTTGATAGAGTAGCGAAACTTCGACTGCAACCTCCGTAAAGGGTATAGCCGCACGGCTATACTCTTAAAATATTCTATTGTATTTATATTCCAAGCGTATAGCCCTGTTAAAATATTCGAATGTATTTAGAAAGTTTCGCCGACTGGCTACACGTTTTAAACAGTCCCGATCTCTTGGACCACAGGAGTCCAAGAGATTGTGGTCACCCACCGTTGGATATTAATCCAATGGTTCAAAAAAGTTTTTTAAAAGGAGTGCAAGAGTGAGTGAACCGTTGAATTTACATCCAATGGTGAGTGACCACAAATCTCTTGGACCCCTGTAGTCCAAGAGATCGGGACTGACGTTTTAAATATACAATTTTGTCATATCATTTAAGGTTTGGGGCTGAAATAACACTTTAGTCCATTGGGCTAGAGTTATTTCTTCAATTATTTTATTTGTATAATTGATATTGGGGAATGAGAATTTAAATTCTTTCCAATACCTCCCATTTTAATGATTTCCAGCTATTAGCCATTGAGCAAGAGTAAAAAAATGAATTTTATTTATAACAAATGACACGGGTTTAACCCATAAATACAACAACAAAAAATAGGATGCCAATCCTTCTTCTAAAGCATTTTAAGCTAATGAAGTCACAGTCCTCTTTCCCTTCTTCATGGATATTGTCCTCTGTGGAAGTAGCTGCCAGTACTATAGTTTCCATATTCTTACAATTCATTATCACGACTACTTGGAGATTCACAAGGAGCTTGTAAATTTCATAGGGGCATAGATATTTCAAACTGTCACAATTGTCAATACTTAAATCTCTTACATTTTGAAACCCCTGGAATCCAGGTTGAATGTTCTTCCAAAAATGTTCAACCTCATATAAAAAATTCACATCCAATGTTTCTAATTGAGAAAATGATGAGGCATGCCCTTCTAAATCAAATACCGCACTGACTACTGGTTCATTGTTTTCTTTTGACCCTTGTCCACTAGTCAAAGAGGCCATCTGGTTCACTGTTTTCTTCTGACCCGCTTGACTCTATTGTGAAACAATCCACTAATAGTTCCTTTAGATTTGGTAGCCATGAAATGCAATTTGAAGGAAATAGTGCATTACAACTTGCTCCCACTTGTGGTACTTTTGATTTAGATGAGGACCCAGCAACTTGATCATGTTGTCTCTTTCATCTTGTCCAAATGAGAGGCGCCACACTTTCATCATTGGGCTTTATGACCTGTACAATAATTAATTCTAAATATGTAATGAACTTACACATGAGCATAAAAGAAATACAAACAATAAATTTAGTGCCTCAAGAAAGTACTAAAATTACAATAATTTAATTGAGTGGTCAAATGATATCGGATTCAAGTAATTTTTTTCAGAGATAATTTTTTATTGCATATCTATAAAATAGACTATTTGAATAAGTGAAATACAATGTAAGGCCCACCACGCATTGTATTTCAATAATCCGAGCAATCTAGATTTTAGATATTCCCTCAAAGATCATCTTCCGCAAAAAAATCACTTAAATCCGAAATCATTTGACCACTCAATTAGATGATTGTTAATTTGTTCTTATTGTCTTTTCTTGAAGCACCGTTTTCGTCTATATTGTTGGTCCCAATTAGATGCCTTAATGATTTTCAGTTTGTAAAATGTTTTGCAAGGATGATATATGAAAGATGAGATAAGGCTGCGAACATAAAAATTTCTTACCATTAAACTATATCTATTGCATATGCAGACAAACTTTCTAACTTATGTATGTAGAAATAATAACGCAAAAACCAATATTTGTAATAAATTAGTTAGTTGCAAAAATTTGAAAGCATCTAAACTCTTCAACAGACCAAAAATGATTAACTTCAACCCAAATAAGCTTCGAGAACTGGAACAACAGTATCAAGCTCTACAAAAGCATATTCCGAAGAGTAACAAGTATATACCTTTTAAGACTTCAACATGGCTCTTTTGGGGATTAAGTGTGTTTTGTACTCTGTTTGAGTAACAAGTTATCATTTTGGAACATGTGGTGGATCCTGGGATGTATTAAACATGTCATATGATTGCACTTTTGCATAAAAGGCTCTATATGTGAACATATGAATTTGCAGTGAATGTAAGTTTGACTCTTCTGCTTATGTGAAAGGTTGCTCTACTATTTCACTTGCATTTGTATGGCTTAATTTGAAGAAGTCTTCTATGCAGATTGAGGTCAATGAAACTGGAATTACAAGCTTGCAAATAACCAAAGTCTTCAAATTCCATAAGCCTTTTGCATACCTAATAACATTACAAGATTGCATAACTAATTTCAGGAATTACATTAACTCCAAATGGTTTTCACTGCCCTTACTCCCATACATTTTGCAGACATGTTCGACACCACCATTATCGTCATCACAATGACCGTAAATAAAACACAAGCGCCCATACTCATCCTACATTCTCTTTGTCGATGCCTCATCATATTGTCTTCCAACAAAAGTCTAAGCCTTCTGTTGTCTCTGACTGCATAATCCAACTCCTTCTTATTTTCTTCAATTATGCCCTCCATTTCCAAGTTTTGAGCTTCTAAGGATTGAAGTGTGTTGACCACAATATTTTTTCTCTCTTCTGTCTCCCTCATTTCAGTCTCATCATTCTTATTCTTCTAAGCAGACCAGGCACCACATTCTTCCCTATTGTACATGTCTCCTTGTCCAACCACCTAAAATAATGCTCTCCAACTTTGTTTTTCTGCTTCATTATTATCAAGCTCTTCATTAGTACAAAATCTGAACATAATACCAATTTTGTGCATAAACCTAAAAATCAAAATTTGTTTACTTGGTTGTTGTCACAAGCCTCAAAGCGTCTTCCTGGATTCGTGTATTTCCATGAAGTCCTCGATTTGATCAAAATCCCACAATGACAATACTTCACCGATTTGGGGCTTTGGTTAGATTCCATTGATGATGTTTGAGACATATCACTTGCCATCCTTCGAACTAATCTGCTCTCCAAGCTTCCAAACTTGACGATTCCAACTTTTACTCAACCAATATCAGAGAGAAGGCGAGTTGCAGAAGCGTATTGGAATTTTTGGTTATTTAGGGTTTTTACGCCTCTGCGAGGTCTATTTCAGAGAGAAGGTGAGTTGCAAAAGGGGGATAATAAAACCAACCTGAAAAGACACATCTACCCCTAATTTTAACGAAAAACTTGACAGAAGTCACGGTGGGACTAGTTGACCAAACGAAACTAAAGTTAAAGGACCCCAGGTACCATTTTGGAAATTGAGGTACTCAAATGCAAATTCGGTCCAAGTTGGGGGACTAATAAAACGATTAACCTAAATGACAAAAGACTCGAAAGGATTAACAATTTTGAATAAAACATGTCCATAAATTACACCATGATTAAATTGTGTTCTTAAAACCAATTTATAAAGGGATTGTATAGTGCATTTTGTCTTATTAGTAACAATCTATATTTTAGGCTTTTTATCACAAATGGTCCCTGACGTTTGCAAAATTATCACCTTTCGTCCCTAACGTTTTTTTGTGACACTAATGGTCCTTAAGGTTATCCTTTACACATCAAAATGGTCCCTGCCGTTAGCTTCAGTCAAATTTTATGTTAAATTGCTGACATGGCACGTGTGTGGAGCCCACACATCCAATGGTATAAAGCCACGTGGCTTTAAATAAAATACAAATATATTTTAAATATTTTAAAACTTAAATCCATAAAAACAAAAACAAAAATACCTGCACCCTCTGCATTCTCACTCTGCCAGCACCCTTCCCCCTTGCAGACCCACCTTTTGTCTCTCTCTCCCTCCTCTTCCTCTCTTCTCAATCGGGACTTGGAAGAGCTTCAAGAGCTCGCGACTTCTTCTAACACCAACCCACGAATCTTTCCGTACAATGTGAAGCAGTAATGCTGGGAAAAGGCCGAGAAGATCAGAGGTCGAGACCCAGACCAGTGGCGTCGAGACTCTCTTGGAAACACCGTGTTCCGGAAGTTCGTCGGTTGCCCAGGTTGCCTCTGTCATGATTATGATCACATCGTGCCTTACTCTAAGGTAATTCCTCGTTCTCTCTCAAATTCACCATTTTTATGATTTTTTGTGCGTTTCTGTTTGTTGGCCTTGATTCTTTGATTTGTGCTTGGAGTTTTGTGAAGTTGGTTCATTGTGGTTTTGGCTATTAAGGCTCCGTTTAGGATGCATTTGATATATATCTTTCCTTTCTTGTTTGGTGACTTTCCATGGAATCAGATTATTTCTGTTGGTAGCATTCTGTATAAAAAGAGATGCATTTTTGCAAGGGGGGAAGGGCGCTGGCAGAGTGAGAATGTAGAGGGTGCAAGTATTTTTGTTTTTGTTTTTATGGATTTAAGTTTTAAAATATTTAAAATATATTTTTATTTTATTTAAAGCCACGTGGCTTTATACAATTGGATGTGTGGGCTCCACACACGTGCCACTTCAGCAATTTAACAGAAAATTTGACGGAAGCTAATGGCAGGGACCATTTTGATGTGTAGATGGTAACCTTAAGGACCATTAGTGTCATAAAAAAACGTTATGGACGAAAGGTGATAATTTTGCAAACATCAGGGACCATTTGTGATAAAAAGTCTATATTTTATAACAAAAGTCATTCTTCATTTTCCCCTTACCAACTTGTTCCACAAAGAGCCATACTTGATTTATATAACAAATTACTACAGGTGTTTAATTTTCTTTCATTAATTACTCTAGATTTTCTAAGTCACAGAGTTTGTCAGCTCACAATATAATCAACTTAAATAACTCAAACCTACTATGCAATGCATTTCCTTCCAATCTTTTGTGTTAAAATAATAGATGATTGACTAAATAAACTTTTTACAAAGTTTCATTAAAAATTTCCATGTTTTTATCACAATTTCCGTGGTTTTTATCTAATTTTTATCGATATCGATATTTTCCCGATATTTCCATCGATATTTCCGTGTTTTTGAACCACCGATATTTCCGAAACCCTCAATATTTAAGACCTTGGTCTAAACTAAAAGGAAAGAGAATTTCTCTCACACACACACCTAAGATGTCATGGGGATTCGAACTTGAAATCTCTTGTATGTAAGTCAAGGTCATTTTCCACTAAACTAGACCCGTTAGCATTAGGTTTAGTGTTATTAGTCTTTCATCTTTTATTTTTCCCAAAATTCTATCAGCTTCAAAAAAAAGTTTAGTCTAATTATATTATAATCCCCTTTCTCGTTTATTAAAAAAAAAAGTTTAACATTTTCTTTCCAAAACAAAGGTTTTCTTTTAAGGCTAAAAAAAGAAAATAAGCAATTGGCGGAGAATATATTTTATTTAATTTTGATTGGGTGAAAAGAGAATACTACAAGCACTCTAACAATAAATTATTATTCCAACATAAGAAATTGAAAAAGAGAAAATTATTACTAGTCAATGGAATAAATAATTATAAAAATACAAAATAATAATATTCCTCCAGTCTGTCTGTTCATTTAGTTATAGACCGAAAAAAGTTTTTAGTGTTATTCTCTTCGATCGCCAAATTACACAAGCAGCGATAATGGCTTCCCACCTATTGAGGCGCGCCCTCGGAAGCCGCTCGACCCAGTTTCTCTCCGGCGCCGCGAAACCTAGCCCTAGCCTGCTATCCTCTTCATCACCGTCATCACAGGCAGCTAGGGTTTTCTCGTCTGATTCCACTCCGATCCGTGCCACTCTCTTCCCCGGCGACGGTATCGGCCCCGAGATCGCCGAGTCCGTCAAACAGGTCCCTCTCCGATCTCTATCGCCTTCTTCTGTTCCAATTTTCCATTTGCGCGCCTTTTATTTTGCATCAGAGTTGTATATTAATATCTGTATGTATGTATTGTATGTGTGCGTTCAGACATATATACGCACGCTTGCACTGGTATGCACTTGAAAGTGTTTAGGGTTTTGAAATCTTAGTGGAATTTAGATGTTTCATTGGATATTAGTCTGTTATTAAGATAATAATTTTTGGCTGATCAAGTATTTTTGTCGTGTAGTAGTAATATTAACGGTTTAGAGTTTGATGATTTGATTTGTTGTGAAGTTTGCTTCAATGGGAATTTATTTTCCTGAATCGATCAGGGAGCTACCTCATCATAAAAATGCAAATTTAAAGAAGAGATCACATTTCCCAGAAAAATGTCGATAATTTAAATGCCGATATTCAGTTCTTGCATGATTAGGACAATGTCCTAGTTTAATAACTACTGGTGTGTGATGGCTGTTGTTTGTATTTATTCTGTTATGGTTTCAAGTTCTGATTCAGTTCACAATTTGCGTGGGTGCAGGTATTCAGAGAAGCTGAAGTGCCAATTGAATGGGAAGAGCATTACGTTGGGGACCAAATTGATCCTAGAACTCAGAGTTTTCTAACATGGGAAAGTTTAGAATCGGTACGAAAGAACCGGGTAGGCTTGAAAGGGCCGATGGCCACACCAATTGGGAAAGGTCATCGTTCATTGAACCTTACTCTGAGGAAAGAACTTAATTTGTATGCAAATGTCAGGCCTTGTTACAGCCTTCCTGGATATAAAACTCGATATGACGATGTCAATCTTATCACTATTCGTGAAAATACAGAGGGGGAGTATAGTGGACTTGAACATCAAGTAAGTCTTTAAAGAATAAGCAGAGTAACATAGTCTGATATTTTTTTGTACATAAATTTGATTAAGTTCCTTGTTTTTGTGGTAGGTGGTGAGAGGTGTTGTTGAGAGCCTCAAGATCATAACCCGCCAGGCAAGCTTGAGGGTGGCTGAGTATGCTTTCCATTATGCCAAAACCCATGGAAGAGAGAGAGTGTCTGCGATACACAAAGCAAACATTATGCAGAAAACTGATGGTCTTTTTCTTAAGGTTTGCCAACTACATTCTAGTTGATTGTTTTCCCAAGTATACTCGTATCGAAACTGGTTTGATCTTTGCTTTCAGTGTTGTCGTGAGGTTGCAGAGAAGTACCCTGACATAAAATACGAGGAAGTCGTCATTGATAATTGCTGTATGATGGTATGAATAATTTCCCTTTAAACTTGGGGAAATTTTTTAATTTTTATACTTTAGTATTTACCATAAAGAAGGGGAAAAAAAACTATATATTAAGCATGTAGTATGGGGGTTTTTATTTCCCTTTAAACTTGGGGAATTTTTTTAATTTTTATACTTTAGTATTTACCATAAAGAAGGGGAAAAAAAACTATATATTAAGCATGTAGTATGGGGGTTTTTGGAGGAAAAAACTAAGGTCACGCTAACTAATTGTTTTACCTTATGCAGCTTGTGAAGAATCCAGCACTTTTTGATGTGCTAGTCATGCCTAACCTCTATGGTGATATTATTAGTGACCTTTGTGCTGGGTTGATAGGGGGTTTGGGATTAACACCGAGGTATGGCTTAAAATATGCATGTTTAATTCCCTTCTGGAGTACGAACCAAATATCATCTGACACCAATTGCCTTCCTATGCAGTTGCAACATTGGTGAGGGAGGCATTGCCCTTGCTGAAGCTGTACATGGTTCAGCACCTGATATTGCTGGAAAGGTGAGCATTCTTGAACCTTGTGATGTTCAATCTGCAATGTATGTAATTACACAAGAAGTCCATTCAATACCCTCACCTACCCCATCCTGTCGTTTGGTATTTGGTAACTGTTGATGTGGTCCTATTTAAGAGGATTAGCATAAATTGACAATGAAAGCTAGAAACTTGATAATGAAAGCCATATTAGGATTGATATTGTTGAGTACATTTTATATGAATTGTTTCTTTTTTCAAAGGGTAAACTTATTAAGCTCTCCTTGTTTAGAAATAGGTTTTGTATGTATTCGTATCAATTTGCTCCTAAGTCATCCTTCTTTTATTTAAATTTCATAGAACTTGGCAAATCCAACTGCTCTGCTTCTAAGTTCGGTTACAATGCTACGCCATTTGGAGCTCCACGATAAAGCTGATCGGATCCAAAATGCAATCCTCAGCACAATTGCCGAGGGGAAGTTCCGAACAGCTGACCTTGGTGGCGCATCGTCAACTTCCGACTTTACGAAGGCAATCTGCGATCATCTTTGAGAGGATGCTGCTTAGTAGGATTTGGGTTTTTTGGATTCCTAGTCAACAGATTATTGTGACTCCTTTTGGAGTCATGTTTTCAGACGTTTTTTTTTCTCGTTTCTTCAGTTGTTTCTGAAGGGGAATAATATCACTTCACTTGGATGATTACGAAGATATTTGTCCAGTCATGGAGAGGTTTGAAGGGCAAAAAGTGGAGAAACTAACATATTCATATTTACATATTCATCTTCCTATGCAATATTTCTCAAAATAAACATTTTGTGTTCAAGGTGCCTTCTCGGAGAATCATTGTGCCATGGATCTTCTATGGTATTATTTTTTTGTTCTGTCAAAATATTTCGTGAAATAAGAACACAATAATTTGAATCACATGATGTTTTTCCTATGTGTCTCCCCCTTACCTTATATCCTAGATTTTTTTCGTTTTATTGTGTTTCAAGTTCAACTGTTTCCTCTGATTCATCCACTTCTCCCATGTGGGCATATGTATCAAAACAAACGCACACGAGTCCCCACATACACAAGTATGTTATATTGCAAAACGACCCAAAGGATCTTTTTCATAATTCATAATTCATGCACATTTGGAGGTGGATCTTTCTTATAATAACTCAAATTTCTTTCTTTATTACCTAGTTAACCAATTGTGTCGGTGGTTGATTTAACAAGGGATTATAGTTCACATACTAGTTAAGTTGAGACCGTAAACTAAATATTACACAATTTATTAGTAGACATGTTAGGCATCATTTTGTACTACAATAAATCTTGCAAAATAACAAAGACTCATTAGTGTAATGGTTTGGAACAATTGCTTGCTCTCCAAATAGAGGTCCTGAATTCGAGTCATAGCATGTTATACTATACTATAAGTTCCCTTCTATAAGTCCTCAAGTCATAGTCTTAGATGCCATGGTCCCGTGGTCCTGGGATAAGGTAGCCTCCTCTCCCTTTAAACTTTTTTTTATTTTAAAAAAAATAAAAAATAAAAAATAATTTCTTACTTATTCTTAAACAAAATACGAGAATTAACGAAAAAATAAAAATCCCAAATAGTGGGAAATGCATTTCCTAAGTATGCGTGCCCAGTGGGTTTGGTTTGGTGAAATAGCGAGAGAGCCACTAACCCCACTTCACTGCAAAGGCACAGAAGAAAACCTCTCTACCTATAAACCTACTCATTTGGCTCCCAATACCTACCAATATAGATCTGATCTCATTTCTGAATCTTGCTACTTGCTATTCTTTGTTAAACCCAAATCTTCAGCTTT